TTTATTTTTCATATTAATATATGTTTAGTATGGTTTTGGAAGTGCGCTCCAACATATTTGTTGATCTTGTTTATTGGTAAAATATTATTTGTTTTTTAAAGTTCAATAAATAGTCAATGAATAATCGTCAAAATAATCGTGATATCAATTATTGATCCAAATAATCGTGATTATGATTTTTGCCATAATCGCACAGCCCTACTGCTACAGGACAACACGGAACGTGCGCGATTTGGACGCGATGAGCGGGGGGTTTTAAGTGGAGCACGCGCATGAGCTGCGAGCACCGGAGAAACTGTGGGCTGTAGGCTCCGTGGTAAACTGTGGTAACATGAAGAGCCGTTTGGGAGCTGAAAGAGCCGGCACTTTAAGAGAGCCGAGCCAAATGATCCGGCTCACTACAGTATCTATAAGGGACGGCTCAAGTCAAAATTCAAAACAACCCGCCCCCCCCGCTCTCGGGGTGGACACCCTCTCAGCCCTGGTCTGGCGGAAACACTGTTTAGGATGGCCTTCCAAACTCAGTTACAAAGTGTATCATAGGACGTTCCCTTTCAAACTATAGTGTGAGCTAGAAGGAGAACTAAGACCAGCATGAATACAACCAGCTTGCTACTGGGAATGGGGTTGAGGGGTGTGGTGTGAGTAGGGTTTTAGTTTCAGGGTGTATGGGTGAGAGGTGGGTTCGGGCCATGGGCCTGGAGGATTATGAGTTGCCAGGCCAGGTCAGGAGCATGGCAGGGTGTATTGGGCAGCACCCAGCTCTTCCAGTTTCTGTCTCCCACACCCCAGTTCTCTCCTCGGCCGTACTTGCCGCCCACCGGTCGGTATGGAAACGGGGCCTTATTTAGCGGCCGGACTAGTCCGTGTCCGTGGCTGGCGATTTGTCCTTGTCTAATTACGGCTGCTGGCTGCTGCCCGCGTGCACATGACTAATGGAGGGGCCGCATACGGGGAGGGGTGAGGTTGGGTGCAGGAGGGAGGCAGCGGGGGAGGAGGAAGCAGTGGACGAGCAGACCGGCCGCTGGTGATTTGTGGACCAGGCACTCTGTCATTGCCCTGGACCCATTTGTCTTCAAGAGGAGTCGGGAAGAAGAGGGGTGGAGATGGAGGGGATGGTGGTCGGGGGGGGGTTGTCCTGGGCAGAAAATGGTTTACAATGGCTCCCATTTTCCAGCACTTTCATCCTTGGCCACAACAGCGTGCATGGATTGCCAGCAATGGGATGAAATGGGCGGCTGACGTGATGTAGGATATGACAGAATCCTTGACAGCTCGCCGCTGCTATTTCCTTTCACCCTCCCTCTCCCCTGAGAGCCAGCCTTATCTGTTTTCTCCTTGTCATGTGGCGAGAGCAGAGGCTCTGTAGATTCAATGCTCCGCTGTCTGGACTCTAACTTGGAGACCAATTATATCTCACATGTCTCCGTCTACGCACATACATCACCCACAGCTTAGACTTTGGCTGTTGTGTTTTATTTGTTATGTCCCCATTCAACGCTCAACATGTGTAACTCATCCATAGACAAAGTCATTATAGAAAGTCAATAGAATTAGGTTGTAGTACTACTGCATTTGTACTATCTCCTCATTCCCTAAAAGCCCTTTTTCCGCATTTCGCTCCTGTTATGTGCTTCTTCCTGACGCCACCTGCGTTCCTCTTCACCTGGGTTCCTTATTAGGCTTGGGTTTCTGCAGCCGCACAGACAGGAAAGAGCAACACTAGGGCAGGAACTAACTCTGTATTGATTTTACACAGTTTTTATCTGCCCCCCCTTTGCTCTTTCTCCAGGTCTTTTTAAGTAAATAAACACCAGATTTGTCATGTTTGTCCAGGGAGAGGAGGGGGTCGATTGGGGGGTAGAGAGAGGCAGATAGAGGCAGAGAGGGCCAGGCCCAGGCCGCGCGCTGGGTCAGCCATGATTCATTCTGCCATCTCATGGATGGAGGGATTCGGGTAGGATTGTTGAAGGGTGCCTGTGGAGCCTCTCTCTGACCTCCCTCGCTCCTGTCCCTCCCCTCACGCTCCTGGGCAGCCCCGGTCCTAAATCACCGGCTGTCAGCCTGTTGGCAGAACAATGGGGCAGGGTCTTCTGCTCCGTCTCAGGCTCCAGCCGACTGGACACGGTTTCCTCCATCGTTAGTGTGAGCCCGTACCCTCTCTGGTCCTTCCTGGCCCCTGAGCCCCACGGGGCCCAAAGGAGCCTTGGGGTGAGGCTTAACCTGATGGTCCGACGAGTTGCTGGGCTTTGGGCTATGGGGGTGGGAGAAGGGAGTAAGGGATGTTTCCTCATGGATATCTTGTCTCTTCGCTTTCTATGCAGATTCTGGTCATGTGATGTAACTGAGGCTGTGGTGGCAGTAAGGCCGCAGGTCGTATAAAGAGTGAGTATTATACATGACTTCAGGTGTTAAAGAGTCTATTGACAAAACTGTTCTGTCAATTAATTTATTTGGGGGGGTAAGTGACTGTAGCTTTTTGCTGATGCTCTCTAAAACTCGTTTTTGGACAAAGTTACGTTTTTTGAGTCAGTGGATACATTAAAAATGAAATAAAGTGCACTGCAGACGGATTGTGCAAACACAGATATGCCCACATTCACAATGTTCGATAAATGATTATTAAAGTCCAGCGTTTTGTGTATTAACTTGTTCTGTTTTACTTGATTCAAAAACAACAATATATATATGTCCGCTATTAGTCACCCTGCTCTCTAAATATTGGCATTGGCCATTAAAAAGCCATACCGGTTTACCACGGTTTTTCAGACTATAAATTGAATGGATTATCTGTAGAAAAGTGAGCAAATCAATCACTGATGAAAATAATCATTAGCTGCACTCTGGAATGAAACATGCTTCACTGGATGGCCTTCTCAGTCAATGGTGTCTCTCTTTTAGCCTTTTGTCTTGATTGTTTTCTCCGACTTCCCGATTTGCCCTCCTCCCTTTTACGGTTTAAAGTCAAGAGTCCGAGGTCAATCTATCAAATCTCCTAACTGAGGGTGGATCAATATGTCAGCAGCCCAACACTCCCTCAGCAGTTATGATGATGTTGGTGGTCCTGCGCCCGCCTCGGTTGCTGTTCCTGCCGCTACAGCGCGCTGAGCAGGGGATCGAACCCCGCCTGTCAGGGGGCTTGACGGAAAGCATGAATCACTATTACTGGAGCTGCTGCTGTGCTCCCCGGTGCTCGGCAGACATGTTCAAACTCTGATGCACCCTAAGTAGTGCACCAGCCGGGACCACACACAAACACACAAACACACACCTAGGTTATTTATGACTAAAAACGTGTTCATATACTGGAATGTAAAGGTGAATGAACCCCACACAAACAGACACACATTCATCCATCCTCACCTAAATGTGCACTCTTTATCACTCAATTAGGTGTCAGTTGGTATTTGACCCATTAGCTCCTGGAACCTGATCCAGCCGGCCCACCACCTCTGGACTTGTTAGCCCGGTGTGAGCTCAGTCCAGCGGGCCTGGAAGGGGTCCGGTTACCCCTCTAATCTCATTGGAACGCTTTAGCCACGGCCAACGGATGCCTGCATGTCCGACAAACACTAATGCTTTGTGTTTATGGTTTGTGTATGTGTGTGTTCATGCACCTGCACAAAACAATACATTTATGGATCTGTTACTGAATTGTGCGCTCAGGGCTGGGGAATATGATGTTGAAGAATGGTTTGTGTGGGTGTGTGCGCAAGCAGCGTGTTTGTGTGTAGAAATAATATTCTAGTTTACAGGATGCAATTTCCCCTTAATATGCCCATCCTAATGTAATTTGGCGTCTATGGAGTGTCTGTGCGCTGGTGTGTGTTTCTGCTGACTGCTCCTGTTTTGTGTTTATATGGATGAGTGGCTCCCTGGAAGAGCATTATGCATCCTTTTCAGCATTTAAAGATTATATGCACGGCGGCGGCAGAAGCATTAGACAAACAAGGAAATATGTCTTTGATTAAAATATCTTTTATCTCTTTATTGATTAAAAGGCTCAGATGGTAATAGAATGTCTCGGCCCCTCCCCTCGGAGGTTTTTTTTTCTATCTTTTTCTTTCTTTGATAGCGTCCCCTTTTATAGCTTAGGATAGAATAAATTAAATGTTATACTGTAAGTACAGTATGTCAACTCTACAGCTAAACAAAACATATTCTGTGCGTGTAATTAGCTGTACCAATGTGAAATTACGAATAATAACATAGTTCAGTTATTGCTTATTTTTTTTCCCTTCCCACTGATAGTGTTTTGTACATTTGGGACTGCAGTTTTTTCAGAGTTTGCTGTCGACCAGTCACTGTAGGAGAAATAAGAGGCCCGCTTGGATGGAGGTCATCTTCCTATTGTTAAAGCATAGTTCTTACTTTTTTAATTAATTGGTTTGTATTGCTTTACAACATTTTCTGTGCTTCCCCTTTTAACATTTGTCACAAAAAGGAGAATGAAAGTAATTTCGAAAAGTTAAAGAGTTCACTTTTACAAAGTCACTTTTACCAACAGTAGATAAAGTGCCCAAACTGCTGAAATCAGAAGCGCTTGCTGAATGTATCATTCAAGTGACAGAACAATTATAATTTGTACTTTTATAACTACGTTTATAGTGTTGATACTAAAATTCTGCTGAACCTTGTATGGACATCTTTTTTTAGACAAAGAAAGTTATTTTAACATAATTGTGCACTCTTGTGATATGTAATGCTCATTTGTCATTCTTTTTTGACATTTTATGGACTATTTAAAAAAAATCCTTTCTGACCCACTTTTTAATATTCTGGACGTCAGACTTCTTGACTGCTCCCCTACATTTCCCACTACATGTAAGAACAATCATTCATTCATTATTTATTAATGCAGTGAGTTGCTTTCCCTTTTCCACTTGCATGTGTGCCTTGTAAGTGGAACAAGTTGGCCCAGATAACTTTTTAAACCTGGACTTCCCTGAAGGGTCCCATGTGACAGCGAGCTGACACACACTTACACAAACACGGGGAACGTCACGCCTACAATGGCTTGATATTCTCTGGTGGCTTCTAGACATCAGGGTCAAGCCCTGTCTGTCCCTCATTAGTGAGGTCACGAGACAGGAGGGGTGGGAGGCCAGAGCATGTCCTTTAAGTCACAGCATGCTTATCAGTGTCACTGTGAACACCTTACTGTCAAGTTATTTCACCTTTCCACTGATGACAAAGAGCGACAGAGTGTGTGTGTGTGTGTGTGTGTGTGTGTGTGTGTGTGTGTGTGTGTGTGTGTGTGTGTGTGTGTGTGTGTGTGTGTGTGTGTGTGTGTGTGTGTGTCGAGGCTGAATGAGAACAGATGGAGATGTGCTCTTTAATTAACCCTGCAGAATCACAGGGCTGAAAACAGGCCTCGGTCCGTGAATAACATCCAGCACATCCAGGGTGTGTGTAAGGTGCAAAGTAAGTGTATATGACTTGTGTGTGTGTGGAGTAGCCGGAGCATCGACCCGTTCCCCCCCATCCCCCTTCCCTAGAGCGGGGCGTTTTATTTCTCATTAGCGGGCAGCAAACTGCTGGGGGATGAAATTTGCTAACAGGAATTAAAAGTGCATTAACACATCTGAGAGATTCATTTCTGCTAATAGTTTTATTAGTGCTCTGACCTTTCAGTTCATTAGAGGACTGTGGGAGGAGGGAGGGGTGGAGAACAGGGTGGATGAGAGGGTCTTAGGGCTCACTGTACTTTGGTAGACCTTTGGAAGTACACAAAATGGTCATAATAGCGGCAAATTAGTCTTCTTGTTAAGCTTTTTTGATTTGTTGACTGATTGTCTTTTTAAAGACTTGCATAGCGTTACTATGTCCTTCTACTTCAAAAGGTGCCCTCTCCTTTTAGTCGATGTAATTGATGCAAAAGTACCGACCTCCTGATCTTTCAGAAACTGACGGCGTCTCACTTCCAGCAGCCGGGTGCTGCACACCTCCCTCCACTCAATTACCAGAATTTATAACACAATGTTTTTCAGGTCTGTTAGCGCTTGAGTGTATCACTTATCCAGCCGGTTAATTGTTTATGAACTGGGCCCTCCCCCTCTCTCAAATGAAGTGAGAGGAACAAAAAGCAGTGACTGTGACAAGAATGGCATTTGGTGGAGGGGAATGGGTCAGAATATTCAACAGTGTTTTAAACAGAAAGTCTACCAATCAAGTCCAACATTGGTATCCTTCCTAGATGCCATAGATAGACAGTGAGCTAGTGTTTGAATTGACCTTACCAAGGAGGGCAGCACAAAGGGAATTCATGTTGTTTTCTTTCCGTTTTATTGGAAAGCAAGTGAGACAAGTTACAGTGCAATTTGCTTTCCCCTGTTCCCTATAATTAGCACCTTACAGAAATGAAATAACATTGACGAGAAGGTCAATAATCCTGATCTATAGTGAAATTAATCCTGCTATCGACACAACAAGCAAACAATACAATTAAGAGCAGAGGGAGGAGAGAGCGGAACAAGAGAGCAGAAGGAAAGGAGCAGGTCTGAGGAATAGGATGTATTTTATCTCCTGGGTTCACTGTGCAGAAATCCTATGAAGGTTTCTAATTAATTCATCCATTGTTAATGAAGGCACAGCGAGAAACCAGGGATTACACATGAGGAGAGGAAGCAACACAATTAGAGATACCGGCCAAATGATTGCTTTTTGAACTTGCTGTTGTTTCTCCCTTGTACTTAGTTGATTTGCTGGGGAACATTTATTGGCCATTTTAAAATGAGCTTAACCTCTACGACGAGAGACATCCAGAGGAGCGGTTAAGTCAATGTTTACTCTCAGTAACTTTTATCTTGAGAAATTTCTTTATATTACTTTTGATCCGAATCAACTATGTGGGACTAACTATTGTTATCCTTTTCCAGCTTAACCAATGTTTTACTTCTGCCTCTACGTAACTTCTGTATTGGGTCCGCATGAGGGGCCTCCCTATAATCATCGAATTGACCAGGCTCTAAACCTATGAACGATGATATTTTGTCATACATTTCGCAAGGGGAAGTGAATACAAGATATCCATAGAATGAGACATGCATATCTGAACAACGTCCTCCTCGTGTTTCTGATCCCAGACTGACCCGGCTCTCGGTAGCATTACTCTCACATCTACAACCAAACTGTAACAGGAGGCTCTGTCCTGTCAGCCCATAGCAGATAATCCAATGCCAGTGACAGAACGGGGGCATGATGGCGTTTCCAGCTGAGTAGTTTTAAGTGGCGTTTGGACCGGCCCGGGGATCCAGAGGGGAGCAGAGGCCGGGCGCGGAGGGCTGCCGGAAGGATGGTGCATCTGAGCGTCGCAGGGCGAAGAAGGATTGCCTTTCAAGAATTACGAGCCATTAAATCAGAGCCTGGAAATCTCAAGGTTCCCCAAGACTGCTGCACAAGGAATCTGGGCTGGAGAAATATTGTTTATGGTTTAAAAAGCCTGGCGATGGATTTATAAAAGAAACATTCATCATTGCAGGAAAACGGAACAAAACATTCCGGAAATAAATACTCACCCTATAGGTATACTTGTCACCCAGACAGCACAATAACAAGTGAATTGGGAGGGAGATCCTTCATTTGCTGGCAGCTGGCCCCCAAAGTGTGTGTGTGTGTGTGTGTGTGTGTGTGTGTGTGTGTGTGTGTGTGTGTGTGTGTGTGTGTGTGTGTGTGTGTGTGTGTGTGTGTGTGTGTGTGGGTGTGTG